TTTTTTCTTTTTTTTTGGGGGGGGGGGGGGGCAACATCTATGAGGCGAAGTCTAGCACCGTGAACATGAAACTGCGTAACAACGAGTTTCTCTAGTGAGACACACCTCACTTACCAAGACTTTGTAAAGATCGTGAATAGTGATATTCTTCTGACCTCTCATCAACACGCCATCAGAGTCACCCCCAGTCACAGGGGAGGAAGGCTGTCTCAACTCACGTGCGAGTGAAGCCAAGGCTACATGCGCGAGCATGTTGCCCTGAACCATGCCTGGACGATGCCTGTATTGCACAGGCGCGCGTGCTGGGCAGAGAAACGGCATGTGAGAATCGGCGAACCATGCGAGTAATAATGTTGTGCGTATGTTTGGACAGCGAGAGGTTAGGCAGCCCTAGCCTCAATGGGCGCCTGGTGTCTTCGCTGTAAATGAGACATTTAGTCAGTGCCCTTCATTCGGTGCAACGATTTTTATACGTTGCGTAAATACCACTGAGAATGAATTAATGTCTATAATGCCTGTTTTATAGGTTAGTAATCTATAAAACAGGCCATTAGAGGTTCTCCTCGTGCAATGGTAGTCGAAACAAATTATAAAAAAAACAAGCAGCGTTTTTTCTCCATCTTGCAGCCAGAACAAGTGGCAACATGATTTTGCAAAGCGAAGGACACGTGCTGAGTTCCAGTGAGACATTGGTGGCCGAGTGGGCTAGCGCACAGCAGTCGAAACACGTGAAGCTAAAGCTCGTGCTGCAACACCCAGGGATCCTGGGCTCGATCCCCACCCTTGCCCGGTTCGATCTGGATGAGCATCCTATTGGCCTGTGGTTGGGTATCATTTACTGAGTGGTGCACGTTAAAGACCCCAGGCTAGCGGTTGTACTGCACTGGCTAAATTTCTCGTCTACAGCTGGGAGGCTCGTCGCCCGTTGAGGCAGACCAAGTTCTAGGCTGTACAAACATACACACACCTTACACACTTTTTTTTTTTTTGTAGGCGGTTTTTGATTTGTTTAGTTATGTGAGTGGCACACAACGCTTACCGCTCATTCACACTGGAATGCGGATCCGCGTTCGCGAAGCGGTTGCGAACGCGGTTGTATAAAGATCCAGTACAATTGCACGCGCACTTGATGTCATCGAGTGCGCGTGCAATTGTAGTGGATCTTTATACAACCGCGTTCGCAACCGCTTTGCGAACGCGGATCCGCTTCCAGTGTGAATGAGCGGTAAAGCGCGAAACACATGTACGACGAAACCGTCCGATCCGACGTCCGACCGCGCAATACGACGGTCGGAGGCGAGGGTTTTCAACGCTCTCCGATGCTACGAAAACCCTCTCCCCCCAAGGTCATTCCGGCAAAAAAAAAAAATAATAATAGTTAACATCATTTAAATTTTATTGCAAAAAAAAAGGTAATTTTACGTTCATTTTTTTTTTTTTTTTTTTTTTACAACTGGAAAGAGAAATGCAGAATCACGTTATTTGGTTCGTGTCTTGACAGCCCGAAGAAACAAACTCAGTTGCTTTCAGTCTGACGGCCACATTTGAAGCACACACGTAAAAACAAAACCCTGTTGTTGTTGTTGTTTTTTTGTTTGTTTTTTTTTACGGACGAACGCTTTTGAAGAACAGCGCGTGGGCTCGCAATCTCGTCTCTGCGTGTGCCCATCGACGTGCGCTGGTTTGCCGGCTTTTTCTACGTTCGTTACATACTACTTAGAATCACTCTTTAACGTTCGCAACCGAATAAACTTGCCTTTATTTTTCTTTCAAAACAACAATATAGTCGGCCAAAAAATTCGAGAAATATGAGCATCGTTCATCCCCTTACCTCGGAGCCGGAACAAGCGGTTACGTGGCCTGGTGCCTATCCTATGCCGCCAACGTTAATCGTAGCCACGCGTTGGGGCCGGCAAAGTCGAAAACGCGTGCTGAGCTCCAGGCATCTTTAGAATTCTGCTATTCTCGTCACCGCAGTGTTTGAACTCGAGCCACTACCCGAGTGTCCGTCGAGGCATTCGATTGTTACGAGCCGAAGTCGAGTGCTCATGCAGTTCTCGTGTCCAATTCCATGAGCCGCACTCGATTGTCGTCAGGCGGGTGGTTTCAATCCCACAATTACGGCATCAAACTTTACGTAGTCTTGTACACGTTACTAAAAAAAGTAATCGATTACAATTACTATTACTCTTGGCTAAAAAGTATTCGATTAGATTACTTGATTACTCGACGGCAAAAGTAATTGGACATTACTTAAAGAAGTAATGGTTACTTTTCCGATTACTTTATTGTGTGAAGACTTACATCTTTAGCGCTCATAACAATGAACTACTTCCAACCTATATTTCACATTTGCACAAGTATTGAAGAAGAAAAACTGGCTCCCTCTTCGTGGTCGTTGCACCTTCACAATGCGGACACAAGCATAGAATTCGTTTGAAGACGTTTAATGATTTGGGCGTTCGCCAGTCTGTGTGTGTGTGTGTGGGGGGGGGGGGGGGGGGGGGGGGGGGGGAAGCGGAGGGGGTTCTAGATCTTGTTAAGCTTGGGCAAGGGTTTTCGCTCAAAGTTTGCGTCGCTCATTTTATTATTCACATGTGGATGAGCTCGCACGTTATACAAAAGAGCAGCAGCTCCAGGATTGGAAACGGATCATGTGAAGTATCCATTAGCGGAAGAGATCGCCCCGACCACTTCTCAACTCGAGACATTGCTTGTCACAAAGACTACGAGGGGAAATTTGGAAATATTTCAACTGCCTTTGTTAAATTTTGCATCCGCTTTAGGCATTCTTCGGTTCTGGTTCTCCTACGGGCTGCGAGTAGGTACCCTAAGCAGGATTTTTTTATTTTTTTATTTCTGTGTGTGTGTGCGTGAGGGGGCCAGTTTGAACGGACTCACAAAGCTACATTCTGCTTCCTCAAACTTCACCCTGAACGGCCGTTGTCGCGCACTGTGGCTTTCCTGGGGCTCTCCACTCCCAGTCCCAGCTCGAAAAAAAAAAAAAAAAAGAAGAAGAAAACGGACATTCCACAGAAACTCTACATAGAAAGAGATTGACCTCGTTTCCTACAGCTCCGCAAATTTTTTTCTTTTTTCCGTTCGAAAAAAAAAGCAAATTTTATTTTTGTCATTTCATAAAAAAAAGGTGTGTGCCGGGGGGAGGGGGGGGGGGGGGGGGTCCCGTGGACGAATTGTAACGGTTACAAGCAATTTTATTACTTCAAAAAGTAATCAGATTACTCTTCTGGTTACTGCCGAATAAAAGTAATAAACTCATTACAAAATTACTCCAAAAAGTAATCGATTACAAGTAATTTGATTACTTGTAATGCGTACGGTACAAGTCTGCGTAGGTAAGACTGAAAGAAATAGTCCACTTTAATCCCCGCAATTTCACCGCGACAAAGGACCAGTACGCCTCTGCAAAGTCATGAAACCCAGTATAGTTTCATGACCCCTTTAAATCGAGCGTTCTAAAGGCCTTCACCCACTAACCCCCCCTCCCAGATTAGGCAGTTTTCGTAGATCGTTTTCGCCGTCTCGCAACGCTCACCGCAACCCGCGACGATACCCGGAACTCTACAGTCAAGGCCATCAACGTGCAGGCGCACTAGCGGCTTCTTCGTCGCGGAGGGCTTAGCGAAGGGGAAAACACGGTATGGTTAAACACCTGCTTTAACGTGCACGCTAAGCCGGGTTACCAACGGAATCAGTAGACAGGCAAATAGTTACTTAGCTAAAAAAAAAAAAAAGGAATAGATGAACGTTAGCCGAAATGAGCGAGGGAAGTCCACTGCAGATTCTTTCCACACCAGACCCCGAACGGCCTTCGAGATTCCCGGTAATCTTCAGAGGTCATCGCGTGCGCAAACGCTTCCTACTGAACGAGACCCCCCCCCCCCAGCACTACACTGCGCGGGGGGCGGACTAATCTCCAAGCAAAGCGAGAGAGCCACGCTTGTCATCGAACCAGCGAAGGTCACTGTCAGGAAAAGTGCGCGCGTAACGTACAACCAAGTCCTTGGTGGGGGGGCTCTGTTTACTGAGCGTTCTAGTTTCAGGCGCCTCCTCCAAATTTACGATTTTATTTCTTTTTTTTCTGACGCGGACGTTTCCCGCCAACGAGAAGAGGTCGCCCTCCCCATGTCATCTCCTTCTCTTCAAGCATGGCACGGCTTGCCTGTTGGATGGGAACATGCGGCTCCGGAACCTAGCGACTGCGTGGTGCAGTGCTGTCTAGAACTTCTCTCTCAAAATACCAGTTTGGTTTCCCTTTCGCTGGGTCAAATCCAACCTTGAACCGGAGCGGTTATTTTCGCTAGACGTTTTGATTTCGCCTGCCATTCATCGTGGCGGCAAGCGGCGTTCATTCCATACACGCGCAAGCCAAGCGACAAGACACGCGGTGAGTGGTTCCCTCCACGGTGTGGTGTACGTTACCGCTGCGCTGGATGCTTCCGAAAACGCTCGTGTTTTCGTGTTACGTTTCAAGACAGAATGGATTATATCTTGACATGGGCCCTAAAAAATAAAACTAATTAATTCGTCAGGTCTCCCAAAAGAAACGAGAAAAAAGAAAAATGCTGTTATTTTTGCACGGGTTATAAGTTGCCACTTGGTGTTGAAATACCTCTTACCCGGAAGACTTGCAAATTACCACGCTTTAGTTTGGCTATATCCTAGTTTGGCTAACTCAAGCTGAAGAGTCGCATCAAAAAATAGCGCGTTAACTTTTTTTTTTTTTTTCTTTTTTTACGACGGACGCAAACATCCGCGTGTGCTGTTCGGGGACCTTAAATCCGTCACCTCTCCGGCAAAGTTGCGAACGCTGTCAGGAACAACAACGCAATAAACCTTGTGGTATTTTTTTTTTTCTTTTTTATTCAGGCCGTCCCTATCCTCCTCCCCAAGCGCCTCAATGCAGGCACAGAAAACCTAGGGCCTCAGCGACCACATCGAAAGAAGACTGTGTCATTGCCGCAGCCGTGATTACGGAAGACGCCCTCAGCAGCGATAACAGTCGATCGACGCCGTTTTTCGCCGCCAGTATCAGCCGGTCAGATCGTCACCTCGCTCTTCGCGAAGAAGCCGCAAGGTGAGGTGTCGCTAATTTCCAGAAAGAAAAAGGACATCTTTTGTTTCCAAACGGGCGTCCTTGTGGCCTTTTCCGGAACAGCCGTGTAGACTTTCCGCAGCGCTCTCGCGCACCCCGCACTTCGCCGCAGGAAGGAGAAACCTGAAGATGAGCTCCGTCTTCGACAAGGGTGTCCTGGTGAACGCGTCCGAAGCCCTAGCCCGTGCCAGGGACCCCAGGACCGTAGGATGGCTCTACTCCGGCAACCCGGTTCCCATCCACGTGATCCTGGGCCTCTACGTGTATTTCGTCAAGTACAAGGGACCAGAGTGGATGAGGGACCGCAAGCCTTACGAGCTCAAGTCCGTCATCCGCCTGTACAACGTGGTCATGGTCGTCCTCAACTTCGCCTTCATGGTCTTCTTCTTTAGCAACACATACCTCCAGGGTAACTACAGCTGGTTGTGCACGGGCATCGACTTCAAGGTGACCCAACAGTCCATGACGCTTCTGGCTGGTTGTTGGTGGTACCTTCACGTTCGGATGGCCGAGTTCATGGACACCGTGTTTTTCGTCCTCCGCAAGAAGAACTCTCAGGTGTCGGCGCTCCACGTCATCCATCACTGCATCGTGGTGTGGAACGGCTGGATCGGACTCACCTTTGGTGCGGAGGGGCAGGTGATGATCTGCATCTGCATCAACTGCCTGGTGCACGTGATCATGTATTCTTACTATTTTCTTTCCTCGTTCGGGCCGGCACTGCAACCTTTTCTCTGGTGGAAGAGATACCTCACGCAGCTGCAGATCGGACAGCTTGCGTTCTTTGCTTTCTATGCAGTCGTGCCAGTCTTGTACGAATGTGGCTACCCAAAGCTGCTTACATGCATCGGGTTCGCGCAGGCCACGTTGGTACTAACGCTGTTTTGCAATTTTTATTTTCACGCTTACAATCGGCCCAGACGATGTATGAAAAATGAATGACCAAAGTGTAAACCATTGTTCTCACCTTCCGAGACGACCCATATGCCTCGCCACGTGGAGGAAGTTGGACATTATATACGTACTACTTGATATTTTGTGCGGTTTTTTTTCTTCAGACAAACACGCCGGTAGCAAAACCATCGACCGTGACGAAACGCGACATCAAGCAAACATCATTGTTATACAGTATATAGCATCTATATATGTAATAGCTATCGTGGTGTTTAGGTGGCGTGAGTTCCGTTTTAATATAGACGATAATGAAAGCGAGCAAATAATACGGTACCTGTAACGCACACACAATGACCATTATACCATAAAGTTTAATCTTTCATACGTGCCGTTCTTGTAGCGGCAGTCATCACGATTAAAATACGTCATTAAACACCAGTCTTCTTTCACTGTGTACTGTCGTGATTTGGTGTTGCAGTCCTCATCGTTTCGGCGAGTTCGACAAGCGTTCGAGTATGGACTATAGATACCAAACTAAGCGCGAAGTCGTCATCGCGATAGTTCAATCGGTGCACTCCGTGAACTTCGGCCCCAACTTCGTGTTTGATGAGTTTAGAGCCCCTGAGGGCAAATCTCCGCCGTCATAGTTCCAATGTTGGCGGCCGAATGTTGGAACGCACTGTCGACACAAAAGAAGATTGGCCCAGGTGACCGAAGACCGGAACGATGGAATCGCCACACGCGGCGCCGCGTTGTCGTCAGTGCACTAGAGATATGCGGAGCGTCAGTTCGTCTGCTTCTTGCACAGGGGTTGCGTTGATGTCAGAACGCCCAGCTTTTATTGGTTGTTTGAAAAAGATAGTGCGTAGACCTCAAGGCACCTAGCATTTAGGTCTACCTAAAGTCCCTTGATACTTCTTTACAAGTAACGACAAACAATACAAATGACAAAGCACATTCCGCTAAAACAAAATGGAGGCATTCAGTTCCGTCTTCTGCTGTGCGCCGCCATTCGCTTCCTAAAACCTGCACCGTCACGCGGTTGGCACTTCAAGATATGTCGCAATTTGTAGAAAGCTCCTGTCTACTATCTAGATACTTTAGGTCTACCCACTATCCTTTCAATCAAAGCCAATAAGAGCTCGGCGTCGTTCTGACGTCACCCCAACTCCAGCAAAAAGGAGCAGACGACTCGCTCTCCGCACAGATTGAAGAGAGGGACCATCTCAAAACCTGGGAAGTGTCGGTTGCAGTTTAATGGCGGACGCCTCCTGCGGAGGTTAAAGTCCCTCGATGTTTTTTTCAAACGAAAACATATTCTGGGTCGTTAGCGGAGGTTGGTCGCAGTGCGCATGCGCTGAGTTGTCGCGTGGCGAGGGGGAAAGCAGGCGGAGAGGCGAGGACGCTCGCAGGCGATCAACGCTTTTGCCATGTAGGGTATGCACGTGACGTCATATGGCACCGTACCGTTCCTGTGCCCATACATTTTGTACCATCGAATGGGTTCTTCTCGGCAAAGCTTGCCGAGAAGAAGAAATTCGATGATGCCAAATATATGCCTCAGAGAAACGAGCACTGGAGCGTGGTCCGGAGCAATGGAGGCTGAGGTGACGTCCATGCAAAGCATGTATTATCTTTTCCTTTTTTTTTTTTTTCTCGCTACATCGGTATTGCTATTGTTGTTACTAGCTCAGCGACTGAAAACCGTCCAACAACAGTAAAGCAGTGAATAAAAAAAAAAAAAAATTATATCGCTGCTCTTAACGAACTGGCAGAATGTGAATAGTCACGTATGACCGGTAAAAGCCCGAGGCAGAGCCGCGGCCTTCTCAAAGCGTGCGTTTGGGAACGGTTGTTGCTGTCTGCCGACCTCTCCCGTGTCATGACTCATGACACGCGCCATGCAATCTCGCGATCCCGCTTTGTTGGCGTGACTGCAGTGCAACGTCTCGCCGTTTCGCCGGTCCAACGTGCTAATCTTTTTCTCTTTTTTTTTTTTTTTTCCTTTTGCCGATTGGTCAAGATCTTTTCACACTCCGCCGCATGGGCGCAGCCATCTTGGAATCATGTGACGCGGCCGCCATAAGGTGGCTTCAAATCGTCGCTCCTCTTTAAAGGGATACTGAAGCGAAACTTGAAATACACCTATTATGGTCAGAAATAGGTTCAATATGATCAATGATATTCATAAATCATAATCGCGCGTTTGTATTTTGAACGGATGGCTATATTTTTCACCCTGATGGGCCCGATTGGGCGCGCGCTCAAAAATCGGCCATCGGAGAGCGCGATGCGTCTTGGGATATTGGGCGCATTCGTGACGTCACTTGTGCCGGTCGGGAAAGCCTACGGCGTGAATGTTGTGGTTACGAGCGTTGCCACTTGGTGGCGCGTCGACGATTTACGACCTGCTTTTTTGGGGGGACCGAGGGCCCTGGGGGCACTGAAGTAACTGAAAACCCAACAAAGTCAGGAGAGGCACCCAGGGTTAAAAAGAGGAGAAAACGTAAGAACAGGTATAAAAAAACAGCACAATCAGACATTGCATATATTAACATGCAGGGTGGTAGAAATAGGTTAAAATGGGAAGAGGTAGAGGAGCAACTAAGAAAGGAGGATTTAATGGTGTATGGGTTTGTGGAAACACATCTCAGAGACATGGAGCAGCCACCTTGCAACCCTGACTATGTGTGGGAAGAATGCAACAGAATGGAGGGAACGAGGAAGGGAGGTGGAATTGGAGCATTCATTAAGAAGAATATGAACTTTCAAAGGATCAGAAAGGAGTGCGCCGAACATTTGTGGCTGAAAGGAAAAGTCGCTGGGGAATCAACAGTCCTTGGAGTGGTTTACTTATGGACAGGGACAGGTGCTAAAGAGGAAAACAGAAAAATGATTGATTGCATATCAAGAGACATTAGTGAACTAGGGGAAGGCTCCAAAATAATTATTATGGGAGACATGAATGCCCATATTGAGGGTCTGGATGGGTATACGGACTCAACTGGAAGCATATTACTAGAACTGGTGGAAAAACATGACTTAGTTTTATGTAATACCAGTCAGAAGTGTGACGGGCACATAACTTGGGAAACTGGCAATCTGCATTCAACTATAGATTACGTACTCATGTCACACAAAATATATGGTAAGTTACAAGTAATGAAAATAGATGAAGAAGGTTCCAAAAGTCTTGGTAGTGATCACAAACGTATTAAGCTGAATTTTGCCAGAGAAGTAAATGCTGAAACTAGACAACACAATTCAAAGCAAACTTTCTGCAGCGACAAAGAGTTGGAAATAGTTGTTGAAAGAATAGAGGCAGCAGTTTCAGGGCAACGGCATACAGATTGGACCTATGAGAGCCTAACTAGGCTTTTTTCTCTAGAACTAGACAAAGTTAAGAGTAAACGAAAGGGGAAGCAAGGACATAGACCAAAAAGTTGGTGGGACAAAGAAGTGAAGCAAGCGATACAAAAACGTCAGGAAGCCTCTAGAGAACACAGGTATTCCAAGCGTAGTGGGGAGTCCGAAACGGAAGTAAAAAGAAAATGGGACAATTTTCTAACATGTCGCCGAGAGGCATCCAGTTTGATCAATGCGAAAATTCAGAGAAAGGGTGAGGAATGGATGAGTAATGTAAGTAAGAAAGATAGAAATGCTGCCAAGAAGTTTTGGGAGCACTTGAACTCACTCGGTGAAACAACGCAAGCTAGACAGAGGTTTATACTCTCGCATCAGGGAGATCAATTAGAGGGAGATGATGCGATACAATATATAGGAGCAGTGATGGAGGAGAAATTTCGGGAACGGGTACATGTGGAAGATAGGAGAACCGAAGGAAGTAGCAGTCCAGTTTGTGACATCGCGGATTTTGGACAAAGAGAATGGGAAAAGGCGGAACGAAGAGTCCCTAGTGGCACGTCGACAGGCACAGATGGTATCCCTATCAAGCTGGTGAAGAATTTGGGTCCTAAATCTAAGGCAAAACTAAGGGAGGTAGTGAGTACCATGATAACAAAAGGAAATATTCCAGATGAATGGAGGCTTAGTAGGATGAGTATGATATATAAGGGAAAGGGAGATAAGTCTGATATTAGGAATTATCGTCCTATAACCGTGACACCGGTTATTTACAGGTTGGTAATGCAGATTATAAAGAACAGACTGGAGGAATGGGTAGATTGCGAGGGCATACTGGGCGAGTTACAGAACGGGTTTCGAAAACAAAGAAGGTTGGAGGACAACTTATTTTCTCTAACACAGTGTATAGAAATAGCGCAAAAAGAAAACAGACAGCTCTGGCTGGCATTTCTGGATATCAAGGGTGCCTATGACAATGTGAACCAAAGAAACCTGTGGGACATAATGGAGAACTTAAACCTAGATGAAGGACTAACAGCACTATTAAGGAACATTTACAAAGATAACAAGGTGATTATAACATGGGAAGGAAAGGCGACAGGGAAAATAGAGATAAGACGAGGCCTTAGGCAGGGGTGCCCGTTATCGCCTTTGCTGTTTATGTTGTATCTGAGAGGATTGGAGGATAGACTAGAGAAGAGTGGGCTTGGGTTCAACCTTTCTTACAGTAAGCTAGGCCAAAAAATTCAGCAATCCTTACCGGGATTGATGTATGCGGACGATATTGTACTAATGGCTAACAACAGGACAGAGTTGCAGGAATTAATGAGCATCTGTGGTAGGGAAGGAGAGGAATTAGGTTTAGAATTCAGTAGCGAAAAATCGGCAGTCATGATTTTTAACGAGGATGAAGTTGAGAGGCTGAAGATACAGAATATTACAGTTGAGAGAGCTAGTAAATACAAGTATCTAGGAGTATGGATATGTGATGGTGCAGAATATCTCAGAGACCATGAAAAGTATATAATAGGTAAGGGCAACAGAAATGCAGCTGTAATGAAAAATAGAGCACTTTGGAATTACAACAGGTATGAGGTGGTGAGAGAGATTTGGAAAGGGGTCATGGTGCCTGGCTTGACTTTTGGAAACGCAGTGCTATGCATGAAATCCGAAGTGCATGCGAA